CAGAATTAACCCCTGGTATGTAAATGACCAAACTGATAATTGTGTGAAACTCTGGTGAGCATTGTCCAGCTTGGGTGAGGCCTGTGGAGGCTTCTGAGGGCCCCGGGTGTATCTGTGGGGCCTTTAATGGATACCTGCTCTTATTCTCTTCATCTTGGCTAGCCTCTGCTCTAGGGAGCCACTCCAAGGCATCAAAATCACCTCAGAGGAGTCATCAGGATCATTAAAAGGATCATGGAAAGGTTTGGGTTGGAAAGAACCTTAAAGATCATCCTAAACTCTCTCCACTGTCCCAGGCCGCTCCAGGCCCCAATGTCCATCCTGGCCTTGGGCACTCCAGGGATCCTCAGGGCTTCAGCACCCTCACAGGAAAGGCTTCACCCTCTAACAGATTATTTCATTTCCCACCTCACTGGTTTTCTACACAGAATGCCTTTCAGCAGCATTTTCTACCTGCTTTAATTTCCCTTTGTGGAATGGACAGAGTTGGAGTTAATCCAAACAATCCATTGTTTTTTCCTCCTAGAAGCACAGCAGCTTCATCCATCTCAACCCAAATCATTCCAAATTGGCTTTGTTTGGGGATGATACATTTAAATACCTGGAAGTATTCTTTAACTCAGGCTTGTCACTGATTTATTATGTGCTGCTTTAATTCTCCCTTAAAAATGTGCATCCTGCTTGGGAGTGTATTTTAAACTATTCACTCATATTAAAGGGAATTTTGTGGAAAAAGACGAAATACCCATGAGTCCTGCCACCAATTTTATGAAAAGAAAGTTTGAGAATTCTTACCTGTGTACCCAGTACTTGTAGTACTGGGGCAGAACTCCATTGGGCCCCTTCTCCTGGAACAGCTCAATGAGCCTCTCCAGCACAGTCACAGTCCTTGCAATGAGGCAATCTGCACTCAGAGCCCTCAGCTCCGTCCCCTCTTCCCTGTTAAACTTTGCTATGAGGTCATTGATGCAGATGGTGGGGTTGCTGTTATTCACATTAAAGCCAAAGCCTGCAGAAGACAAAGAGGAGGACACAATCAAAGAGACAAACTCTCTGTTAGCACCACAGCCGGATTTAATTCACCTGCTCCCCACAATCATCCCTCAGGATGGCTCCCAGAGCTGGTCTCATTCAGCCTCTCACACTTTTGGAACTTCCTTCTCCTGTAAATACAATTCTCAGCTCAGATTTTGCTCTTTGTCCTCCTCAGAGTCACAGAGGCAAATCCAGCAGAGCCTTCCAACCCCACCAGTGAGGGCTGGGAGAGGACACGCTGCCCCCTGGTTCCAGAACCTTCCATGTGAGCCATTCCTGCGCTCCCTGGAAGGCGCTCAGCCCACTCAGAGAACAGCTGATCCCACCTAAGATGGAGTTTGATCCCAAAACTCAGCTCAGAGCCCTTTCTGCTTCCTGCAGTGAGCTCAGTGCCCTTTCCAAACCCCAGACCTTGCACTCGGCTGATAAAGCCTCGCTTGGCTTGCTCAGGAAAGCCCAGGAGATTTGATTTTAACTTTGTGAGACTCCAGTTTGCCTAATCCATCTCACCACAGCATATCCTTTAGAAGCCTCCAGCCTCTCGCTGAGATTTCTCCAGCTGCAATTCCCAAACTCTGAGTTGGCAGAATGCCTCCCTTGTTTAAATATGGCTCCTGGGGCCTTTTCTGCAGCCTGCTGAAACAGCCTGCCAGGGATGTAAAGAACTATATTGTATTACCTGTTTATTTTTTTCTCCTAATAATTTGTTTTTTTTTTTTTATTTTCTTCCCTCAGACATTTGGGATAAAACTCCCTGTCTGTCAATCAGGTTTGGGCATGATGCAGCTCTGTTTGCAAGGAGATGTCTTGATTTGTAAGTTTGCTGTTGATAATTCATAATTGGGTTAACTTTGAGAAGGATTCCTTCAGTGAAAAGGAGTTTAACAAGTCAGGGAATGAACACAAAACAAGGCACAGTGATCCCAACACACCAGTGCTGTGGAAATGAGCTGAAATTTGGGTTTACTGGAAAGAGATAAAGGAAAATGAACTGGAAAATGCAACGAGCTGTGCCAGCAAATCCCAACTCAGGTGTCTGCAATCCAATGTGAGGGAACAGAGACAGCACTGAGGGGTCACAGAGCCTTGGGGTCCATCAGGATCCCTGCTCAGCAATCCAAAAGTGGGACACAGCTGAACCCCAACACCTGGGAAGGAACAGGGCCAAGGGGAGAAGGCAGCAGGAAATTGGAAAGCCACGAGGGGCTCGGGGGGCACCGTGCAGTGTCCATGAGAGAGGAGAGCCCTCGGCAGCGCTGACGTGGCTGCTGATGGATGTTCCAGGGTGGCTCCACGAGGAGCTGGACGTGCCTGAGCGGAGCACAGCGGGGTTTGCTCGCTGGCTGCCCCCTGCATTCCACGGGCGCTTGGCCCTCACATCAATGGCGAACGTTCTCCTCAGAGCTCCTCCTCCACAAGTCCCAGCACCGTAAAGTTCTTCCATTTTAAACTCCAAATTGGAAAAAAACCCAGGTTTTTGGTTGTTTTTTTTTTTTTTTCCAAACTGTGTTTGAAAGTCTCAGCGTGAAGCGTTGTCACCTGCAGGGCTTGAGCAGTGGAAATTCAGGTTTGTCTTTGATCTTATTCTCCTGAGCTCCTCCCTGGAGCAGTGAAGCCACAGAGATGATCCTTGGTTTCCATCATTGTGACCCTGCTCACTGGGGTTTTCAGGTGAGGGAAGAGATGAAAATGTTGACTCCACGTTCAGAAGGCTTGATTCATTATTTTATGATATATATATTACACTAAAACTATACTAAAAAGAATAGAAGGAAAAGTTTCATCTCAGAAGGCTGGCTAAGCTAAGAATAGAAAGGAAAGAATGAATAACAAAGGTTTGTGTCTCAGACAGAGAGTCCAAGCCAGCTGGGTCATGGTTGGCCATTAATTACAAACATCCAAGATGTGCCAATCACAGATGCACCGGTTGCATTTCACAGCAGCAGATAATCAATGTTTACATTTTGTTCCTGAATCTTCTCAGGAAGAAAAAATCCTAAGAAAGGATTTTCATAAAAAGATCTCTGTCACACACCATTATCCTCATTTCTGGGTGGTCCTGAGGGATGCCATGGGAAGGGCGAGCTCAGTGCCTGGAGGTGGCACTGAGTGCTCTGGGCTGGGGACAAGGTGGGCACAGCTGGCACTGCATGGGCTGGCAGGGCTTTGCCAACCTCAGGGATCCTGGAATTCTGCCCAGGAAAGGATCCTTTGGAAGAGGGGAGATGGATCTGACACACCTTTCTGGCTGGGGAACTGAATCCCATCACTCCTACCAATCCCAAAGCTTCAATGTCATGAGGGCCCTCTAGGACTCCATGAAACACAGCACTGGAATGATGGAAAACATCCTGGGATTCACATGGAGCAAGGAAGTTTCAATTTGAAAATCTCCCAGCTGAAAACAGACTGATAAAAACAGGCATTTATCTCTACCTCAGACCTTCCAGAGGAATATCAGAGAGAATGGATACAGAAAATCTCCATTTGAATTGGAATATTTTGATGTTCAGGGTTAGAATGGAAAGGTCCAACCCAAGCATGTGAAGTGCTTAAAGAGATACTTGATATAATGAACTCTTTTTGGATGTATTCCTGCTTTCCTTGTGTTAACCAGGCTGTAGGAAAACATGGAAGTTGTAAATGGCTGAAGGGGCACAGAGAGATTTCTAAAGTTTCTGTGCAATTTCCATTCTGTTCGAGTCGATTATTTACAAAATGAAGGGATAAAATTGAACAGAAAATGTCCTGTCTGGGCATGTTTAACAGAAAAAGATGATTTCTTCAACTCTTTTCTACCTTGCACCTCTAAAATCACAGAATTTTGACAGAAACAACACCATGACCACTCCACCTTTGCAGGATATTTGCTTGTGCTATATTCAAATAGCAAATATCATCTTTTTCTTTACTTTGTTACACTTGCTAGGGAATTTCTTTCAATTTTCTAGACTTAGCAGAGACAATTATTTTTGGAACCAGAATCTGGAAAGTTTCTCAGTAGATCTGGGATGCTTAGGGGAAAACTTCCTTATCACAGAGCAGGATGATTATCAGACTAAAGATGACAAAGACATCTTAATAATTAAAAAATGAAAAAACATTACTCCATGCATGTAGCTCTTCTTTTGATTTTAAAGGCATGTTCTTCATTTAACTATTTGTCATGTTCCAAAAAATCCATAAATTGGGAAAAAAGGATGGAGTTTTCAGCATATTCCACATAAATCAAGGAGGACAATTCCCCTCTCCCATGAAATGCTCTTCCTTTGAACTCTCCTACACCAAGCCAGATGCTTGCATTTATGTTTTACTTGTCAAGCATATGGAGTTATTAAGAAGAATGAAAACATTTACTTTTTGTGCTTCCTCTGGGTTGAATGTTGTGCTTTATTTCCTTATGCCCGCTGTCATTATTTGTTCTCATCGTTGCCATTTTTACTGATACAGACACTGATAACAAAATCCTCCAGAAAAAAACAAAAACCAGCAAAAAAAAGCTTCAAAATAGACATTTACCAATGAGAATATGAAATGTTGTTTCAATGAGTGTGGAGTTTACCAGAACCCCACCAATCTTCATCAGGTCGCTGTAGTAAATATCATTTGGCCACTTCACTCGCAGCTCGATGTCCTGAAGAAACAAAAGCAGATATTTAGAGACATTTATGGCTCATTCATCACCCCATGATCTGCAGAGAATCCCAGAGTGGTTTGGGGTGGAAGGGACCCCAAAGCCCACCCAGTGCCCCCCCTGCCATGGCAGGGACCCCTCCCACTGTNTTTTAGATAAATCTGAGACGAGCTTACTTCAGGGGAAGATTTTTGGTTTAAGGTTGTAGTTCCTAACATTTCTTTGGTTAAACTGAGCTATGATAAGGTCAGATAAGTGTGTCCCAGTGAGTTGCAATTACTGCAAAGGCTCGTTATGAGTAATTAACGCGTTTTTTCCCTTGCCCTGGCAGTGCCACTGTCCCACAGGAGGTACGGCCAGGAGGCCCTGCCCGAGGCCTACCCCGGCTGCACGGCGCCCGTGCCGGGCCGCTACAAAGAGGAGCTCTACGACCCTTCCCTCATGAAACCCAGCAAAGCAGAGCCCAGGCTGCAGCCCCACGCCCACCTCATCAAAGAGGAGAACAAGCTGCCTTTCACCAGAGAGCTGCCAGAGAAAATGCCCGCCAACGAGGCCTCCTTCTCCAGCGCCCTGCTGCCCAAATCCGAGTGCTGCCAGGCCAAGGCTGTGGGACAGCTCGGCCACCTGCTGCCCGTGCCCTCGGTCTACGAGCAGAGCAGGAGGATTTGTGTCAAAGAGCCCAAATTTGGGCACGTCAGCCACCACCCAGGCAGCCTGGAGGAGCTGGACGAGAGGATGAGCGCCAAGCTGGACCACGAGGCCGACGGCGAGCGGCTGATGGAGGTGAGGCCCTCAGGCCCCTTCGTGCTCCTCAACTACCACCACGTGCTGGCCAAGCACGGGGCCTTCCAAACCTCGCCCTGCACGGCCTCGGGACACGCGGGGGAGAATTGTTCCTACAGCTCCGAGGAAGTCAACGCCTTCCTCTACAAAAACCAAAGCCCCTCCTCGGCTTCCTCGCCAGAAACCCACAAGGAATCTGCACTGCCCCACTACATTGGGACCTCCGTCATCATCGCCAACGGCAGGTGACGGCAGCACGCAGCGGTTCTGTGTTCAGTGAAGAAGCCAAACTGTAAGGATTTGCTTAAAAAAAAGGAAAAAAAAAAATAAAGCATGAGGAAACAGTGACATTTACTGAGCAAAGCTGGAGGGCAGTGAGGGACAAAGTGGTGAAGTTCCAGTGGGCAGGAAAATCCCTCCGTCCCTGCCGTGCTTCGGTGTCCCAGCCAGGGACAAGCCAAGTTCCAGATCTTATTTTTGTTATTTCATAGTGTGCAGCAGAAGGAAATGAGAGGTGTTATATGCAGAGGTTTATATGAAGAACTTTTTTTTTTTTTCCTTGACCCTTCCTTAAAATAAACTCAAGATTTTTTTTTTTAAATCATTATCATAAAATATGCATTCTAGTTTAGGGTTTTTTTGACAAATTGTGTGAAACCTCGCATCAAATCTCCACCCAACCCCCTGACACATGGACTTTGTTGAGAGAGTGGTGATTTTGAACAACCACAACACAGCTGCCCTACCCAAACAGGGAAAAAAAAAAGCTTATTTATTAATTACCAGAAAGTTTTAAAACTAAATAAATCAACCCTACATTTGATTTATTTAACAGAGATTTCAGTGTTCTGAGATTGTTGCCACCACCATTTATCTTGACAAGGGACAATATGACAAATTAATAGGTACAAAGATAGGTATTACAGGGTTACAGGTCTTGTCATGGCAAATTGGGACAAATTATGGAGCAGGAACTAATTCCCCACAAATAAGAAAAGGAAACTCCTAAATCCTGTGTTTCCCTGGGTATTCTGGGGGAAGCCTGTGCAGATTTTCAACCCAGCCAGTCACAAATACATCTTAACAACAGCACCAGAAATGTTTTCTTTATAGTCAAGAGAATAATGAACATTTCTGCCTTATTTTGAACTTACCAGCAGAATGGCGAGCTTTGAAAATTCCAGCTCTTAACACGCTGAACTTCCTCCAGCATAAATCCTGTTGTCAGCACAAAGGTAGGGCTGGAATTCCCTGCCTGGAGCACTTCACAAATCCCAGGGAGCACATTTGAAACGCTCACACTCGGCCCAGCCAGCCAGGAGGAGATTTTCACCCCTTTATTTTTAATTCTTTGCAGAGGATGGAGCTGTGGGAGTGACAGCACTCAGCCCAGGGTGGTTCTCAGCCATTTCCCCAAATATTGGGAGAGGATAAAACAACAAAAGTCTTCCCTAAACAATAAATGTGGCTCCGGATCTCACTCAGCTCCATTTCTTACATCAATTCAAGCTTAATTCAGAATTTTTCAAACTTTTTCTCATCAGACTCTAAAGAGAACTTCACTGAAAAACCCTGAGCACCCTGGGATGGTGGAAGGTTCCCTGGATGAGCTTTAAGCTTCCTTCCAACCCCAACCATTCCATGATTCTTTGAAGGAAATTCTTCCCTGGTTTGTGTAATATGGGAAAAAAAACCCCTTGCTCATGGATTGCACCTTGTCAGAAAAATCAAAATGCAATACTCAGCCCTAAAATTCCATGTTTTCTACGCAGCAATAATTCATCCCAGAACGGTCTGGGTTGGGAGGGACCTCAAAGCTCATCCAGCATTTCCAAGCTCCTGAAATGGGCAGGGAATTTTCCATTAGAGCACGGAAATAAAGTTAATTCCTTTCTGTGTATGAATATTTATTGCTCCGAGTACACAAAAATACTTTATTTTTTTTTTATTGCATCCCATTAAAGGTTAACAGAGAAACCTTTATTATCAAATGAACATTCACTTGAAAATGAACTTGAGCTGAACACTCTGAGTTGTTGCTTTCAATGGCATGAAAAATACATTTTGTGTTAAACACAACAAAAAAAGCCAAATCAGTGATTACAAAAAAAACCCCAAAAAAAGAACCAAACCAGCAGAGTCACTCCCTGTGTAACCCCTCAAGTTTGGAGAAGCTGGCAGCTCTCCAGAAAAGCTCTAAATGCGGATTGTGATGTGCCGACCCCACAAACCAAAGCCAGGAGACACCGGTGGCTTTCCCAGCCCCTGCTCCCCATCAATGACCCCAAATCCCCAAAAGATAATTACGGCTTCATTTTGTCCAATTCAATTACAGCCATGCCCCACCAAGCAGCCACTGGCACGGTTGGCATCATTGAACAGAAACCTGATGCCCAACCCTTCTCCCTCATTTGTGGCACTGCTGAATTTGGGTGTTCCCGCAAGCCCCGCTTGCTGTAAAAACACAAAAATTGGGATTTTCGCTTGAGGAAAAACACCACTGATATTTTTCCAGCTCGAAAATATTTTTCCACCTTGTTATTTCCACTTGCAGGCTTTATTCCAGCAGAGGAGGTGTTCCATCATCCCGCCCCAGGTGTGTGAGGGGAGGTGATGCCCTGGTAATTTCCCTGCCAGGAAATAATGAACCAATTAAGAGCTCCCAGCTGATAATGCGGGGGAAGGTGCAGAAAAGATGGCAAAACCAAATGTGGAAAAGGATTTTTTTTTTTTTTTTTCTCCTGCCACTCTCCAAATTTTAAACAGCAATTCCATGTTCCCATCTTGGGAGTAAATTACATTGGGAGAAAAATAGGATTTTTTTTGTCAGTTAAATTGCAGATGTTCTCAGGAAAATCCTAGTGCAGAACAGGGCACTGCCATCATGGTGGCAGTGTTTGAATAATGAAAAGTGGTTTTAATAATGAAAGGTGTTTCTAATAGTAAAAAATGTTTTTAATAATGAAAATGTTTAAATTGTGAAAAAAAAATGATGGCACTGAAGGGGAATGTGAATTGAAATATGAAAAAAAACCTCATTTCTCTTTAGTGTTTGAGCCACACCTTTGTACCGAGACTTCACAAGATTTGAACTTTTTGGGGTGTTCAGACCTGGCAAGAAAATCATGGAAAATGGGAGGAAGGAAGAGAGTGAAAGAGGGAATATTTTACCAAAATTATAGAAAATTTGGGTTGGGAGGGACTTTCAAGATCTCATTCCAGCCCCCTGCCTGTCAGGGAATCTTCCACCAGAGCCAGGTGAAGCTGCAAAAGCGAATCCCACAGCGAGGTCTCCGAGTTCTGGAAGCAATGGAAATAAAAGAAGGTGAAAAATGCACAGATCTGTCCCCAGCCCTCTGTGCCCTGGGATTTGAAAAATGCAATTTAAGGAAATTGTGCTGAATTTGAGGAAATTCAGCACAACAGGTGCAAAATCGGGGAATTCATCCCTGAAAGTGCCAATGGATGGGAAATCTGCCAGAATTTCTCCAGAAATCTCAAGCCAGGACATAAATTCTTTATTTTCCAGCATTTCAGTCACACTTCAAAAATGCCACAGAGGAAATGTTGTAATTCCAGTTCTTTCCTGAAGGTTAGATTTTGCTTTTATTTTTTTTTTTAATATGATGCAGATAAAAGCTATTTGGCAAGTGTAGGTGAAGAAGCACGCAACCCAACCAACCTATTCAAGCTCAGAATTATATATGTATTCCCTAAAAATGTAAAGCATTTTTGCTTATTTATTATGTAAAACAAAACTGTTAAAATGTTAATAAAATCCTGTAGCCAAAGGAAAGCTGAGTTGAATTTCTTCTTTTTTTTTAAAAAAAAAATTACAGAACAAAGAGTATTTCACAAAGGACAATGGTGCATATTTGAAAATTTATTTCAACTGTGACATGTTCTATATTGACAATTAATGTACTATAAAATACACAGAGAGTTTTTAAAATTTAAATGCATTTTAAATGAAGACACTTGGAAAACGCAAATAACACAGAATCACTAGTGAGAAACTCAACACTTGACAATTCTTCCCTGCAGTTCTTTTTTTTCTCCATCATTTTCTGACCTCTGCCTTTTGCTGAGCCCAGATTTAATTTCTTTGGTGTCTGATCAAGGCAGTGCATCCCCACCACCACTTAGCCATGCAAATAATGCTTTTTATCAAACCAGTCACCCCCAGGAACCAGCACAAATCTTTCCCCTGGCAGATTATTTTGATTGTAGTTGCAAAAAGTAATTTTATTTTTTTTT